TGTAACCTGTCCTCTCTGCGGCCCTCTGGCTATTGGTTCTCATGGAGGGCCACCCTGACCTGGGATCCTGGGCCCTTGAGAAGGCTACAGGCACTTGAAGTTCCAGGCTATCTTCCAAGAGGCAGTTACAGTAGGACGCTCCAGCTCCTGGCTGATCTGGGGCCCTTTGAAAGGGTCAGAGCTTCAGAGAGCAGCTGTGCGCAGCCCACAGGGAACCCACTCTGCAGATGGAAAAACTGAGTCCCAGAGTCTGAGGGACTGAACTGAGCTGGGACCCTCTTCCCATCGGTCTATACAGTGAGTCTCCAGGACCGAGGGAGGTCCCATATGGTCAAAAAAGGGAACAGGGTTGGTCCCACTAGCCCAAACTAGAAGGGGATTCAGAAGTCAGAAAGGCGAGCTTCCTGGAAGAGGCCCTGGGACTGAGGCTTGGTGGAGGGGAGGCCAGGATGGTAGGGATAGGTGGGGTCTCCACAGGGAGAGGTTGCAGGACCCCAAGCTGGAGGTGAGACTTGGAGGCCAATTCTCTGGCCGCTCCTGCCTCTGGTCTGACTTTCAACCACCCAATTATTTCTAAGTGCCTACTATCGACCGCAGCTGCTGCTGTCCGGTGCTCCGCGCCTGTAGCCCTGCGGCTGCTGCTTCATCCGATGGCCTTGTTAGAGCTAATTGCTCTGGCATTTGGGCCTGATGGGGACAGGAACGGCTGGATCCTGTCATTCACCGGGCTTCACTCTCCTTCCAGCCACGGGGGGTGGATGGGAGGGCAGGGCGCCTGGTCACATTTCCAGAAGGGGCCCTGAGGCCCCCAGGCCACACTGTCCAGTTGGGCTTCAAGTCTGGGCTTCTCGGTCCAACCCAGCCTCCTGGGTGGGAGGGAGATGTAACTTCACTGTACCTGCCCCCTGCCCCCAGAGCTCACTCTGCACAGCATCCAGACAGCCCAGAATGACGTCCTGAGTGCCTCGAGTCCCAGAGGGCCCCACCACCTTCCAGGGCCTGTGTACTATACATCAGGTGGTGACTGCACAGACCTGTGTCTCTGAGAGCAGAGATAATGAGCCCAAGCCACGTCTGGCTTTAGGCTTCTTATGACCCTGGTGCCCTGGGACCCAGAGAGCTGTAGAGTTTGGGGTGGACCTGTCAAAGTGGGACATGTGTGAGTGGACCTGTGTGTACAGCATTTGTTTGTACCTGTCTGCGTGTGCATATGTGTAGATGCATGTACATCTGTGTATGCATGTGTGCTCAATGGTGTATGTGTGTCTATATGCATGTACCCATGTGTGCCTGTCTCTCTGCCTGTGTGTTTGTGCATGTGTCTGCTTCTGTGTGTGCTGTGTGTGCATATATATATGTGCCTATCTCTCTGTGTCTAAGTGTATTTGTATGCATGTGTATGTCTGCATGTGCATATGTGTATAAGCACTCGTGTGTACCTACATCTCTGTATGTATATGAATATACATGCATGTACATCTGTGCACATGTATTTTTGTATACATGCATATGTGCCTGTCCTCCTGTATATTTCTGTTTATGCCTGTGTATGTATATACTTGTGTGTACCCATCTTTCTGTGCATGTGTGTCTGTGTTGGGCCATGAGTGTATCTGTGAGAACATGTGTGTGTTTGTGCATGCCCATGGTAGACCTGTGCATGCTCACATATGTCTGTGTGAACACTGGTGCACGCATGTGTGTGTTCATGAGGGTCTGTGTGGGTGTGTAGAACAGAGGCACATATTCGCTCTCTCAGAAGGTCATGGTGCTGGAGGAGGTGCCCTTTGAGCCTAGATTGTGGGGGCATGTGCCCCAAACTGCACATGGGTTTCCACAGTGCCCTGTGGGGCAGAGCTGGGATGATTTGTGTGGCTGGAGTCCTGGTTCCAGGAACAGGGTGAGAACCCTCACCAGTCCCCTGCCTCTTCGGCTCCTCCATGCCTTGAGTTGGGAGGCCCAAGTCAGCAGGCCGCGGGTAGAGTCAGGCAGCACCTCCTCCTTACAGCCCACAGCAGTCTCCACATCAGGGTGGGATCCAGGGGCACCGATCCCAGGGAGTGTGTGTGCTGTCATTATGTGCAATTAAGCCTTGCGCTGAAAGAGGCCGGGAGGGAGAAAGGCCCTGTGTGCTGTGTGTCGCCCTGCTCTGCAGGCCTAATCGCCCTGGTGACAGAAGAGGGTAATTACTCAGGAAGACCTGGAGGGGCATGGGCCTCGCAGGGAACCAGAGGGCTCTGGGAGGGAGAGAGGGCTGGCCATGACCCCCAGCACCCATTTGAGCCCAGATGAGGGACCCAGGACTCCCGCCACCCTGGCTTTGCCCCTCAGCCCAGCCTCTCCCCTTTATTGCCAGGTGGCACCTCCCATCTACCCCTCACCCCTGTGGGCTTGAACTTCAGGCCCTGTGCTGCCCAGGGCACTCTCAAAGCCTCACCTCAACAGACCAGGAGCCCTAGCCCTGCCCTCCTGTCAAGTGTCCCTGCCTCCCCATGGTGAGGGCTGGCTCCTGTGGCCTGAAATCCTGAGCCCCAGCCCTGCCATCTTGAGTTAAAGACCAAAGTATGAGCTGGGGACCTGGGCTGGGTGCTTTCCCAGTGACCCAAAGAGTCTCCATGATTCTGGGCCTTTAGCCTCCAGTCCGTAGGATGGGTTTGTCTGAAGGTGGTGAAGTGGGTCCTCTTCCGAGGTCCTGGCATAAGCTGTCATGATAGGAAGGGTTCCTCCTGGGATGTGCTGGTGGCTAAATGGACCTGCTTGGCCCTGGGGTGTGTGTCTTGAGATGAGGTGAGTGCCCCTGGCATGGAGCAATGCTTAGACTGGGAAGCCTGACCTGGAGCAGCCTTGAGGGGCCTCCTAGGGACTCTTACTATCAAAGAGGGGAAGGAACAGGGCTGGAGAGTCCAGAGCCCTTCTATGGCCACAGAGGCCTTAGACCAGGGTGTGGCCTGGCCAGCCAGCAGGCCCGGTGAGTGTGTAGGGAGGTGGGTACACAGGAAGGTGGGTTGCAGGGATGTATCTCATGGATCTTGGATAGCAGCCTGTGTGTGCCTCAAGGTGCTACTTGGGGGAGCCCAGGTCCAGACAAGGGTCTGGAGAGCATGCCCACACTCCCTACCTAGCTTCCGTGCAAGTGCTACCAGCCCAGCCAGGAAAATGAATTAAAAAGCAATATTTGTGTCAGTATGAGACATTTGCTGAAAGGTTAAATCCACATCTGCAGTGTGCATGCCGTCGCTGCTCCCCCTCACACCCACGGTATTTGTTGGATACCTCCCCCTCCTGCCCTGCACCACCTGAGCAAATGCCAGACTGGGTGGGGTAGACCTAGCCTGGGCTTGCCTCACCCAGGGATCCCCAGCACCCTCCACCAGAGGGGCCTCAAGGGGAATGGGCAGGCCTCGGGGCTAGGCATGAAGGTCTACTGGGGTAGAGCAACAGCTTATGGGCATCAGGGTGGTGGATTAAGGTACAACCAGCGCTCTCTCTCTCTCTCTCTCTCTCTCTCTGTGTGTGTGTGTGTGTGTTGGAGGGGTGCCTTAGCACAACCATTTTCTGTGCTGTTAAGGGTACTGAGTGCAGCTCTGGGACCCCAGGTAGGCCAGGGCTGTGCTGGACTCCAGAAGCAGGAGTGGGCCAGGCCTGCAGGGTTGCTGTCCCCAGGGAGCCTTCAGAGAGAAGCAAAGAAAGAGGGGGTTAGTATAACGGCAAGAAAGAGCAGGTATTACAGAGGAAATTGTCGCTGAGCTGGGCTTTATGGGATGCACAGGAGCTTACTCCGAGAAGACGGAAGACAGGTGTCTTTCAATCTAGGTACCACAGAGCCCCAGACCCTCCCAGAGCAGGAGTGGGAATCCCATGGGGACCAGAAAGTCATCAGGGGCAGGTTGGGGAAGCGAATCCAGTGTGTTGTGCCCCTAGAGCCCAGGGTAAGGGCCATTTTCAGGGTGGGCTCTGTCCTTTGGCCCTCTGCTGAGCCCATAATGACCAGAGGGACAAGGGAGACACATCCTGGGTCCCCTTAGTGAGAGAGGACACCTTTCCCAGAAGGGCCTGGGCAACTGCCCTGATCTGGAAGGAAATGGCACCATGAACGTGTGATGAACCCAGTGGAACTCACCTGCTAGTGAGGAATACTCCGCCCTGGTCTCCTTGGAGACCCCAGGGTAAATCCTGTTCCCCTGCCTGGGAGGGAGATGTGGTAGGTCTTGGGGGTTGTGGCAGCTAGGAGACATGGCTGCCAGGCCTTAGGGTGCTGAGGAAGAGAGTGTCACAGAGTGTGTCCCCAGCGGCTGTGGTTAGCAGGAGACTCTTTGAGGCAGGGAGTAGGGGTTGGGGGAAGCCCAAAACCCTCAACACCAAGGGAGAAGTCTGCTCCTGGGGGAGCTGGGGTCAGAAGGCCCTAGGGATGCCCACAGCTAGGGTTGGGGGGTGGAGAGGCTGCGAGGTGGGTTAGCACCATCTCCTGGCTATGTCCTCAAGGCAAATATGACCAGGGAGCTTGGGACTCTGCAAAAATGGGCCAGTTTTGAAAACCCTCTAGAGGGTTGGGTTCCGAGACATTCTGTTCCCTATACATGGGGGAAGTGGAGGAGTGGTCTGTGACCTGGTGGGGACTGAAGAAAGATCCCCCACCCCCAACCAGACAGCCCAAAAGAGCCTTCTGACTTGTCTGCCTCCAGGGGCCTGGCTCTTTCAACGTGAACCCCTGGGAACCCCATGGTCCCTTTCTGGGTGCCCTGGTTTGGGCAGAGGTCTCTAACTGTGTCCTGCCCTGCTTGTGCCGTGCCCCGGGCTGAGGGTGATTCAGAGGCAGGTGGCTGTGACAGTGGATGCAATTAGATCTAATGGGACGGAGGCCTTCTCGCTCCGCGCCCACCCCCGCCTCCCTCAGGCGCAGCAGGCGGGGAGAGGATGCGCAGGAGGCAGGAGGTGGGAGACACAGAGGGGCTTTGACGTCAGCTTGGTCTTTAAGAGGCCGCCGGGTAAGGGCTGTGGAGACAGAACCCGGGACCACCAGTCTGCACCATGCCCACCCCCAGCGCTGCCTCGCCACAGCCCAAAGGCTTCAGAAGGGCTGTTTCCGAGCTGGACGCCAAGCAAGCCGAGGCCATCATGGTGAGAGGGGCATGCTATCACCCAGGGGTATCCAGAGCAGCCTCTGCCCCCATGGGCAGGCAGGCACCCCAGGCTGGTAGTCTACGCAACCTCTGGCACCCAGGGTTGGGGTGGGTCCCTGTCTATCCCTGTCCCAGGATTAGTTTGGGTCCCCGCCCCAGAAGACATCTTCTGTGCCTGGGTAGGCATCTCAGTATGTCCTGCTGGACTCTAAGGGTGACGGCCAGTGCCTATCCCCCATACCAGCCTTTCTGGGGCTTGTATGGGCTTCTGCTGGTCTGGTTTCATAGGTGGTGAGGGGGAATCTCCCCTGGGTGGTCTCAAGAGGGAACCCTGTGATCCAGGGCCTCTCCAGTGGCTTCTGTCGCTGTCTTTGGGTTTTCTGGGCCTGCCTGTCACAGGGTGTGGGAGGTTCCTGCAACATATGTTTCTGGAGAGAGTGGTCAGCAAACATTCAGCCTGCCTGCTGGGCTGCACCAGCCAGGGGGCTCTGCAAACAGGGCACAAGCCTAGGTTGCTGACTCTGGGGCAATTTCTGTGCCTCTTTCTACCTTCCCTGCCCTCCTGCCCTGTATCTGTGTTCTCTGTGGCTTGGCACAGGGAGCCCCAAGGGATCAGAAGTGCTTATGGGATACCAAGCTGTCTCCTTTGCAAGCCTGGACAAGGGGGCGCCTCAGCCCACAAAAGGGTCTTTCAGATTATCTTTGGGATCACACCTAACTAGCACCCTGGCCTGACAGACCCAAACGAGACTGTTGTGACCTTTCGAAATTAGATTTCCAGCCACCTCTTGGGGGATAGCTAAGGGGTCGAGTACCCTTTCCAGAGTACCCCTCAGCCTCGTCTCTCCCTGGAGCCCCCAGACCTCATGCTGTCCCGCAGGGGGCCAATGGCCCTTGGCTGCATCACAACATCCAGCTTCGCCCATCACTGTGAGCCCCCCAAAGCCCAAGGCTGGCCTGTTCTTTTTGCTGAGAACCAGAATCTTTTGGAAGCTCAGTTCCCAGGGAGGCTTCCAGAACTCTCCTTGCTCAGGCCCTGACAGCTTTGGGTACTGGGTGACCAGATGCACTGGTCCATGGCCATGGGAGACACAGCCAGCAGAGGCTATAAGGAGACGACCTGTATCCAGACCTCTGACAGCTGAGGATACTGTGGCCAGGAGGAGGGGTGGCAGAGAACTCACAGGGTGACTGGAAGCTTTCTGATGGGGGTGGATTCCAAGGTGAGGAGACAGCATGGACCAGGATGGGGAAGATGTTTCATGGCGAGGGCGGGGGGGAGCTCTGCCTGAGCTGGTCACCTACCTTATCCAATGCCCAGTCATGCCTGAAGCTGTGCGCTCTGCCCTCCCTGGGCTTTGGTCGCTGCCCATAGCAGTCAGGAGAGGCAGTCCCTGAGTCACGATCCTTCATCACTAATCCAGTTAGGACCAGGCTCAGGGGACACAGGCAGCTTTGCCTTGGGAAGTAGTGGCCAGGCACCCTGCCCTCCAGCTTTGCTACAGTTCCCAGCTCAGCTGCCCACTCTTCCTGGCCAGGATATTCAATAGTACGCTCGGTCCCTTGCCCCTGTGTGCCACTGAGCAGCTTAACTAGGACCTAGACCCTTGGTGGGGGTGAGGTTCAAAGGAGCCTCCAGCAGGGAGACACAGGCACATCCCTGTCTCCAAAGTCCCCCAGGTTCATTGGGCGTCGGCAGAGCCTCATCGAGGATGCCCGCAAGGAGCGTGAGGCGGCGGCAGCTGCGGCCACCTCGGAGCCTGGGGACCCCCTGGAGGCTGTGGTGTTTGAGGAAAGGGAAGGGAAGGCTGTGCTCAACTTGCTGTTCTCTCTGAGGGGCTCCAAATCCTCTTCACTGTCCCGGGCTGTCAAAGTGTTCGAGGTGAGACCTGTGGGTGGTTCAGTGTGCCAGGGTGAGCATGCCCATGACATAAGGATGACTGTGTCCAGTCTGGGGTGGAAACATGGCTGATCAGGCCACCAGAGGTCACCAGGAGCGAGAGTCCTGGAACCTATCCTCCAAGCCCTTTGGGCTCCTGTCTATTCAACCTCAGATCCCTACCATGCCACTGCCACATGGTCCCTTGCCTCCCTGTCTGGGGGCCTAGGTGACAGCTGATTGCATTATAGCTGGGCGCTTGACCTTGCTCCAGACAAACCCCCAAATGACATTAAAGCAAGACTCCTTGCAAGCTCCCAGGCTACATGGCCCAAGTGTCTTCTTGCTGTACAGCAGGAGGTAGAGGTAGCGTTGACCCCTGCCCAGCAGCTGTGGGTGCCCCAGTCACTCTGTTGGGGCCTGAATCTTGTGTCCTTGACAAGGTTGGGTCTAGGCCCCTGGGTGTGACCAGTAGACCCAATGAGAGCATCAGGGAAGTGGGATCTCCATCATCAGGGGGACTCAAGCTTTTGGTATGGCCTCTAGACAAACAGGGCTGTCCAGAAAGGGGGCCAAGGGTACAGCTGTGACCATTCCTGGGTGGCTGCATGTGACAAAACCCAGTCTACCCAGTGACAGTTTGCAGAATCAAGTGCAGGGCCTGACCAGGCCTAACCCTTCCATTTCCCATCATTCCTGTCTCTGTTTTCTCTCTTCCTCTCTCTCTCTCTCTCTCCCCGCCCCACCCCATCTTACTCCCAAAGACATTTGAAGCCAAAATCCATCACCTGGAGACCCGGCCGGCCCAGAGGTCACGGGCAGGGAGCCCCCACCTGGAGTACTTTGTACGCTTTGAGGTGCCCAGCGGGGACCTGGTTGCCCTGCTCAGCTCCGTGCGCAGGGTGTCGGACGATGTGCGCAGTGCCAGAGAGGACAAGGGTGAGGAGGGCTTTCTGTCCTTGAGTGTAACCCAGTGACCTTGAGGCCTGGGAGCAGAACATCTTGCCAGGGGAGACCCTGAGGTGGCCACAGGGTGCTGGCCTCTGCTCCTGCTGGTTTCACCCCTCCTCTGGTTTCTTTTTATGTATGTACTGGGAACAGGGCCACGCCCAGAGTCCTCCACACACATCCCCAGTGACCTCTGCCCCCTAGGAGAGGCTGGATCCTGGGTGACTGGAGCTGCTGTGGGTTCATGCTCACCTGGGTCCCCTTGCTCTGTTCTGTTATCTGTGAAGTCCCCTGGTTCCCAAGGAAAGTGTCAGAGTTGGATAAGTGTCACCACCTGGTTACCAAGTTTGACCCTGACCTGGACCTGGACCATCCGGTGAGCCCTCTGCCCCAACTGTTTCCTGTAGCTGTGGCCCGTGGGGTGGGTGTGACGGGTCTGACCCTGATCTGTGGAACAGGGCGAGCCCAGCTTCTCACCTGTGTCTCTTACCCACCAGGGCTTCTCTGACCAGGTGTACCGCCAGCGCCGGAAGCTGATCGCCGAGATCGCCTTCCAGTACAAGCAGTGAGAAGCCCGTGCAGGATGGAGGGGGGCAGTGTGCGGGGTACTGGGCAGCTGGCCTGTCCCTTCTGTAGTGCTCTGTGTTCAACCTGTTGTCCACAGGCACACAGGAAACTGGGGTACAGCTAAGCAGGCAGCTGGGGCCTCATAGCCACCACGAGGCACTGCCAGCCCCAGGTGCACCCCACACAGTCCACTCACACAGTCCACTCTGTACTCCAGAGGCCTCTCTCCACAGCTGATGTGGCTTCAGGACAAGCCCCTTCACCCCATCCATCCTGCTTTCTGGGGTGAGGGACCTTGGTTGACTACTGACTCTTCACAGGGGTGAACCGATTCCCCACGTGGAATACACGGCAGAGGAGATTGCCACCTGGTAAGACCCTGATAACAGCCAGCTGGGGAAGAACTGGGCACGGGGAGGCCCGGAGGCAGTACTCAGAATCCATATGTGTGAGGACCATGTGTCTGGGAGTGTTAGTGCAGTAGGAGACAAATGCCAGCTGGGGGGGGGGGGGCTTCTGTTCCCAGAACAGGTGATCTGGAATGTCCCTATTGCCCACTTCTCAGCCTTTGCGTTACCCCACTCAGTGATGGAGGCCCACAGTGAGGGGTGCAGGCAGAGCACCCACGGGGGCTAGGAGTAGGCTTGGTGGTCACAGGGGAGCCCCCCCCAAAGCAGGCAGTGCCCTGAGCCCACATGGCCTGCAGGAAGGAGGTCTACACCACGCTGAAGGGCCTCTACGCTACCCACGCCTGCCGGGAGCACCTTGAGGCTTTCCAGCTCCTGGAACGCTTCTGTGGCTACAGAGAGGACAGCATCCCACAGCTGGAGGATGTGTCCCGCTTCCTGAAAGGTGCAGATGCAGGGGAGGCCAGGCAGGAGGGGGTTGAGGGTGCTGGCCTGCCCGGTGTCCCCTCCTCCACTTGTGTGAAACATGGCCCCCTGCAGAGCGGACTGGCTTCCAGCTGCGGCCCGTGGCCGGCCTGCTGTCTGCCCGGGATTTCCTGGCCAGCTTGGCTTTCCGAGTGTTCCAGTGCACACAGTACATCCGCCACGCCTCCTCACCTATGCACTCACCTGAGCCGTGAGTACTCTCCCTGGGGCCAGGACCCTGCACCTGTGGTCGAGGGACAGCCCCTGAATAATGTGAACGGAAGCGAGGCGGGGCCAAGGCCTCCTTGTCCACAGGTAGGACGGAGAGCCTTGTCGGTTCTACCTTGCTTATCTTGAGGCCTCACACAGGGACTGCTGCCACGAGCTGCTGGGACATGTACCCATGCTGGCCGATCGCACATTTGCTCAGTTCTCCCAGGTGTGTCTGGGACCTCAGGCCAGGAGCCAGGGGATGGGGGATTTGGCTGAGCCAGGGGATGGATGATGTGGACACACCATTGATACAGGTTGCCCATGGTGGGACACCCCTCCCAGATAAACAGTGCCGATAGGTCCATGAGATTTCCGGGTGATGGCAGACTGAAGAAGAGAGAGTTCCGCCACGTGTGTAGACCACCCCCAGACCAGGAGGCCAAATCCTTTCCTAAGGGACAGAGAGGCCCACAGCTTGTGCTGCCACCTGCTGGCCTTTATGGGAACTGCGGATCCTGGGCCCTTGGTTGGCTATGGAGGACAGGATGCAGGCTAGGTCCAGGGGACCCCAAGAGTAGCAACTGATACCCAGTGCCCCTGCTCAAGCACAAAGCCAGTCTCTGCACACTTCACTCATTTTTCTACATCTACAGGACATTGGCCTTGCATCCCTTGGGGCCTCAGATGAGGAAATTGAGAAACTGTCCACGGTGGGTTTCTGGGGCCCTGGGCAGGGATCAGGTCCTCTGTTCTGTCCTAGCCTTGTCTCCAAGCCCAGCCTGCCTGTATTAGTGGTGGCATGCCTGCTACACCCAGATGGGTTGAGCTTGGTGGCGGGTGATCTTAGGTAACTCTAACGACTGTCTGGCAGGTGTACTGGTTCACTGTGGAGTTTGGGTTGTGCAAACAGAACGGGGAACTGAAGGCTTACGGCGCGGGGCTGCTGTCTTCCTATGGGGAGCTCCTGGTGAGACCCTCTCTCCTTCCAGTCCCCTGGCAAAAGAGACCAGGGTTGGTGATCAGGGTGTGAAAGACCCTGCTCCCATCAAGAGGGTCTCTTAGACCCGGGCTTGAGATTCAGGCTGTTCTGGAGAAAGTGTGCTTCTGCCCAGACCCCACTGCCACACTGGCCCAGGACCTTTGGGAGAAGAGGGAGGCTCAGACCCACAGCACTGGGTTCCCTTGGGCCCTCAGGTGTGGCAGGGTTCAGTGATGCCTGCGGCCTCTCTCTAGCACTCCCTGTCGGAGGAGCCTGAGGTTCGGGCCTTCGACCCCGACACAGCGGCTGTGCAGCCCTACCAAGATCAGACCTACCAGCCGGTGTACTTTGTGTCTGAGAGCTTCAGCGATGCCAAGGACAAGCTCAGGTGGGTGTGGCCCCACCCTACCTCACCTGTGCAAGCAGGCCTTGATCCCGCCTGAGAGCCTGTTTTATACCCTCAGCTCTGCTCCTCCATAGCAAGTGTACAACCACCCCAACAAGGAGCCCAGAAAGTCTGGGGATGGGGAGACCTGTAGGGCAGCAAAGTAAGGCAAGGACAAGGGCAGGTTCAGGCCAGCCTTGTGGGCTTAGGCAGAGCCTGACCTCCCATCCTCTGAGCAGCACGGGTCTGAGTGGGCTGGGGACTCACTGGGGGAGGAGGGGAGGGGGACAAGAGACACAGTGGAACCAGGGGCTGAGGTCAGGAACACAGGTTATTGAGGAAGTGAGCAGTCTCGGGGTTAGGACTACAGTGACAGAGGGGTCCAGAGAGGGGAGGGGTCTGGTGGAACAGTCTTGGGAAGGCTGCTATTCCTTCCCCAAGCCTATTGTGTACTAGGGAAACTGAGGCGAGGGGCTGTACCTGATACAGAGGACCTGGGTGTCCACACCAGCTTATGGACTCTCTAGGGCACACAGGGAAGGATTCCTGAAGGAGGATGTCCAGATGAGGAATGGGCTGTCCCACAGAAGCCTGCCTAGAAGAGGAGCTGGTCCCTTGTCCCTCACTGTGGCCTTTGAGGCAGCTTTAGGCTCCCATGTGTCCAGAATGGGCTTTGGGACTTCGAGAAACTCAGAAAATCCCTTGCCCCATGCTCCTGGGTTTACAGATCCTGTCCCTTACCACCTGTCTCCACCCCACTTCTTCATCGCCATGTCCCACCTCCTGTGACTTGGGTTCATACTGGCTTCTCTCCCAGGAACTATGCCTCCCGGATCCAGCGTCCATTCTCTGTGAAGTTTGATCCATACACGCTGGCCATTGATGTACTGGACAGTCCCCACACCATCCGACGCTCCCTGGAGGGGGTCCAGGATGAGCTGCATACCCTGGCCCATGCCCTGAGTGCCATCAGTTAGGTGCATGGAGCATCACCCACAGGTGCCAGGGTCCTGCCCCAACATCTCCTCCCTCTTCTCCAGCCTTCCCCACCCCAAAAGCTCAGGCCCATGTGTGGGGCTGGTCTGTGGACACTCCCACTGTCTCCCTGTGCCCTGTGATGGGCTCCCCCTTGAATACCCCACTGCTTCTCAGTCCCATGTCTTATTGCTGCATGCGCTCCAGGGTCCTGGGTGGCCCTGCTCTGCCCCCCTGGCCCCCAGACTGCTCACCACCTGATCATTATCTCAATAAAGTAAGGAACACTCTCCCCAGGTGCTCCCGGCCTCTGTGTCACCAAATAGATGGTCCCTGGTGCTTGCATCTTCCACTGCCTTGATTGGAGTTTAGGGGGTTCCTTCCTGCGCATGTCCACATCCAGCTAAGTCTCCTGGGCACCCAGTCCAGGCAGAATGCTCTGGCCTCCTCTGACCCTTATCTCCCTGCCAACTCTGAGTTCTCATGCAGTCCTCGAGGATTGGAGAAGGTCCCACATGAGCTGCCCCATAACCATGGGGTGACAACACCAAGCTGGGGACCAGGGAAGGGAGCTGTGCCAACAGGATGGTGGCTTGTGACACAGCCCTGCAGACCAGGCCCTCTCCTTTTACCTCAAAGTCTTAGCCCCTGAGGAAGAAAGGAGGCAGATGTGGGAAGGGGGCAAGATATGGCAACTGGGGTAACCTCACCTAAACCCCATCCACCTAGTGAGACTCAGGAGAAGGCCTTAGCCACAGTGAGACCCTAGGAGAGACCAGTGAAAATACCTTAGACACCGCCGAGAACTTAGGGAATAACTCAGGTCCCAGTGAGACACAAAGGAGACTGGCCTCAGTAAGATCCTGGGGAAAATCTCAGCCAGTGAGACTCTGGCAAAGGAATTAGGCCTCAGGGAGACCTTGGAAAAGGAATCAGGGCACAGTGGGACTCCAAGGACAGCCTTAGGCCCAGGTGAGACTCTGATGAAAAAAAAAAAAAACAAACCTTCTCTGCCAGTGGTATTTGAAGACCTTAAGACTTGGAGAGAACATGGCAAGATGTTAGGTCCCATTCAGATCTTGAGAAAGCTTTAGAACCAGCAATAGCCTTGGGAAGGCTTTAGGTCTCAGTGAGACCCCTGGAAAGGCCTTGGCACCAAAGGAGACCCAGAGAAAGACTTGGGCTCGAGTGGGAACATGAGGAGGCTCTTTGGCCTCAGTGGGAGCCTTGGAAAGCCTTAAGAACTGCTGAGACTCTGAGGAAGATATCAGGCCTGAATGACAACTGGAGGAGACCGTAGGCCCCAGTGAAACTCTGGGGAAGGCATTTGCCTCATTGAGAACCTGGGAAGGTCTAAGGCCTCAGTGAGACCCTGGGGAGTTCTTAGATCCTAGTGTGGCCCTAAGAAGGGCATTAGGTTCCCATGTAAGAACATGGGAAGGCCTTACACACCCCTGTGAGACCCTGGGGAAGGTGGTAGTTCCCAGTATGACCTATGGGGAAGGCCCTAGGACCCAGTCATTTCCTGGCAACATAGATAGGAGATAATGAGACCCTCAGGAAGATTTGCCTCAGTGACACCCTTGAGAAAGAACTTAATGCCTGGTATGATCACATGAAAGGTCTTAAGTGTGAGTACAACCCTATGGAAGGCCTTAGGGGTTTGGTGAGACATTGAGAAAGATCTTTGGAATCAGTGAGTTTCTAAAAAAGACCTTAGGGCCAAGTGACACCCAGGGAAGGCCCTAGACATCAGTGATATACTGGAAAGAACTTATGCCCTTTGGGACCCCAGAGAAGACTTTAGATCCCAATGAGTGCCTGGGACGCCCTTTGACCTCAATGCTAACCCGGGAAAGGCCTTAATCCCAACACTACTTAAACCCATAGGTCTCAGTGAGAACATGGGTAGACGTTGGGCACCATCAAGGACGTGTCAAACTTCAGGCCCCAGTGAGAGCCTCAGGAAGATCTTTGCCTCCGTGAGGCCCTGGGAAGGCCTTAGGCCTCAGTGAAAATTCCATTCATACACTGAGAAGGACTTGGCTCCCAAAGGAGTACTATGGAAGGCCTTAGGTCTAGTGGGACCGTTAGTGAGATCTTTGGCCTGAGAGAGGCCCTGGGGGAAGCCCTGAGGTCACAGTAAGACATTGGAAATATTGTAATCCCTAAGCAAGAACCTAGGGCCTTTGGACATACTGAGGTCCTGGTGAAGTTCTTAGACCTCAGTAAGAGGCCGTGGAAGGCCTCGGACTCAGGGAGATAAGAGAGGAAAGCCTTAGGCCAGAATGGGACTGGAGGAAAGGCCTCAGGTCTAGGTCAGTCCTTGGGATGTCCTTAGGATTGAACGAAACCTTGGGAAGGCCTTGTTTCCCGTTGGAAACACATGAGGCTCTGATGTTGCAGCAAGGCAGTAAGGAAAGCCCTTGGATTTGGTGGGATGCCAGGAAGACCTTAGACTACAGTGAGACCCTAGGGACCAACCTAGGCACCAGTGAGACTCTGACAAAGGTCTCAGGCCCCAGTGAAATCTGGGGAAGTCCTTAGGACACAGACTCTGGGAAGGCCACAGGCCTGGATGAGATCCAGGGAAGGCCTTATCCCACAGGGAGACACTGTAGGAACTCTCTGATGCCATTTAGACTATGTGGAAAGACAGGTCCCTCTGGAACCCAAGGAGAACTTTCGGCCTTAGTGGGATGCTAGAAAAGGCATTGGGCTGCAGTGAGATTTTTGGAGAATGTCTTAGGCCTCAGTGTAACCCTGTGAAGACGTTGTTTTCCACTGAGACCCTTGGAAGGCCTCAGGGTCAGGTGAGACACTGGAGAAGGCATCAGGCCCCAGTGAGACCTTTGGACAGTCTCTCGTCCCAGTGAGACCCTGGGGAAGGCCTTAGATTCAAGTAGGACAAGGAAAGGACCATAGGCCCCAGTTAGACCATGGGAAGGCATCAAGCCCCGGTCAGACCTTAGAAAGACTTTATTTCCAACTGGAAGCACGTGCAGTTGTGATGTTCCAGTGAGACCCTAAAGAAAGCCTTTGGACTCAGTGGGATCTCAGGAAAGACCTTAGGCTCCAGTGAGACTCTAGAGAGTAACTTAGGTACTGGTGAGACTCTGACAAAAGCCTTAGGCCTCAGTTAAACTGCGGAAAGTCTTTAGGACACAGTGAGACCTATGGAAGGCCTGAATGAGACTCTAGGGAAGGCCTTAGATGGGGCCTTAAAGCAGAACGTTGACTTCAGAAAGACCCAGGAAAAGACTTTTGGCTTTGGTGAGCCCCTGGGGAAGACCAGACCCTGGGGAAGACCATTGTTGGAAGGTCTTAAGCCCCACTGAGACCCTGAGGAAGGCATTTAGCCTCAGTGAGACTCTGGGGAAGGCCTTAGGCCCCACTGATAACATAGAAAGACTTTAAAGGCCATTCAAAACCCTGGGAAAGACTTAGGCCCCAGTGTGATTTTGTAGAAAGTCTTTGGTCCTAGCAGACCCTGTGGAAGATCTTTGTCCTCAGTGAAACCCTGGAAAAGTAATTAGGCACCAGTGTGACTCTGGGGTAGCCTTATGTACAGGTGGGACCCTGTTAAAAGCCTTAGGTGCCAGTGAGCCTTGAAGAAGACCTTAAGTCTTATTTAGAACATAGAAAGACATTAGGTCTGATTCAGATCCTGGGAAGGTCGTAGACCTCGTAACAGCCCAGGGAAGGCCTTAGGTCCCAGTGAGACCCAGGGAAAGACCTTACCACCAAATGAGACCCGGAGAAAGCCTTGGGCCCCAGTGAGACCCTGGGAATATCTTTGGCCTCAGTGAGAGAGCTTGGGAAAGCTTAGGAGCTGATAACACTGGGAGGGAGACACCGGGCCTGAATGACACACTGGGGGATGACCTTTGGTCCCAGTGAGAACTTTGGGATGACCTTGGGTCCCTCTGAGACCTGAGGAAAACCTTTGGCCTCAGTGAGATGCGGGCAAATGTCTTAGGCTACAGTGAGATTCTGGGAGAATGCCTTAGGCCCCATTGTAACCCTGTGAAAGCTTTAGGTTCCACTGAGACCCTTGGAAAGACTTAGGCCCAGGTGACACCCTGGGGAAGGCCTTAGCCTCACTGAGAACATGAAAGAACTTTAGGAACCTTCAGAGCCTAAAAACGTCTGAGCCCTGTGAGACCTTGTGGAAAGTCTTCGGTTCCAGTGAGACCTTGGGGAAGGCCTGGTTCGTGTCAGGTAGAACAGGAAAAGTCCATAGGCTACTGTTAGATCATGGGAAGGCCTCGAGCTCCAGTGAAACCCTGGAAAGGCCTTAGGCCGAAGTGGGACACTGGGAGGTGAGAACTTAAACTAGACATTAGGCTTCTGTTAGACCCTGGGAAAGACATTCAGCTACAATGAGATCCTAGGAAAGCTGGAGCCCCCAGTGAGATGTTTAGAAGACCTTAAAGTGCACTGAGCTCCTCGGGAAGGAGTTTGGCCTCAGTGAGACCCTGGGGAAGGACTTAGATACTAGTGTGGCCCTAGGGAGGGCATTAGCTTCCATGAGAACATGGGAAAAGCCTTAGGTTGCAGTGAGTCCCTGGAGGAGGCTTTAGGAGGCTGTTATTCCCTGGTAACAGTGTTAGGTAGCAGTGAGACCCTGAGGAAGATCTTTGGATTCAGTGAGACCCTTGAGAGGCTCTATACCTGGTGCAACCAAGGGAAAGGTCTTAGATGGAAGTGAAACCTAGTGGAAGTCCTCAGGATACCATGCGATGCCAAGAAGATCTTTGGAATCAGTGAGATCCTGAAAAAGGCCTCGGGGCCAATGAGACCCAGGGAAGGTCCCAAGTCCCAGTGAGACACTGGAAAAGACCAGTGAGACCCTGTGAAAGGACTTATGCCTCTCTGCGACCTGAAGAAGATCTTTGGCCACAGTGATATTCTTGGTGAATGCCTTGGGCCCCTGTGTGACCCTGGAGAGGCCTTATTTTCTACTGACATCCTTGGAAAGCCTGGGGAAATGCCTTAGCCTCAGGCTGGGTCAGGAGAAGACCATAGATCCCAGTTAAACCATGGGAAGGTATCAAGCACCAATGAGACCCTGGGGCGGTCTTAGGCTCAAGTGAGATACTGGGAATCCATTAGGCACTAGTAAGGCCTTGAAATGGGCCTTAGGTTTCAGTGAGACCCTAGGGAAGACTTTTGGACACAGAGAGATCCTGGAGAATGCCAGAACCCCCAGTGAGATATTTGGAAGGCTTTATGTCCCACTAAGACTCTGTGGAAGGAGTTTGGTCTCAGTGAGAACCTGGGTAAGGGCTT